ATGGTGGCTATATAGCACCAGTGGCTGCTAACTCCATATCCATCTATCCTAGCAGGAACCCTGCCCCTTAGACTATATGCTCAGGGGGAACAACCAGAACAAACAAAAACATTTGTCCAAGACCACAAAAATGCTGACCCCAGACACAAACCTATCTTCTGTCTCTTCAGAAACTACCCTGAGTGAAAGGCTTCATAGCACTATTGGTTGCCAGCTCCATCCCAAATCAGTCAGTGCTTTAGCAGAAATCATTGCCTAGACCATGTATGCACAGGGAGAGCAAAAGCTCCTCCATAAGCCTCCAAATAAGGCAGTCAAACAACCATCACCAACACTCAAAATACGAGCCTCCATTCCCCCCCTCTCCTCAGAAACTCCTTCAACTACTACTGCCACTCAACTGACTGATTAGGCTTGCTCTGGATTCAACTCAGGAATCAGCAGAATGGCAACCCCAAGTTGTTTATATTTCTTTCCTCCATATTATTTCATTTAAAAAAACAACAAACTTTGTTACAGACTTTTATTTAAAAACTTTGTACAACAACTTTACCCAATGTCATGATCTGTCAACCACTGCCGGTGCACAAGCCATCATATTAATGGAGAATTTTCAGGAGGAAATGACAGTTGTAGCCCGTATGGTTCTGGTCCCTGACACATTTACAAAAAGGCTATTTCCTCCATATCTAATAGCCTAAGAAGTATTCACAATACCATATCAGCTTCTTGCTATTTTTGTTCCAGGTTTCTTTTTCCCAGTTCTTTTTATGGGGCCGAGACCATTATTTCTGCTTGACACTCCGGAGCACTAGAGGAAACAGAATAATTATCTTTGTTTTATTAAGGTTGTTAGTTTGTTCTGTTCTTGCCCTTTCCATTTGATTCTTCTGGACTAGCAAAACTAAACAGGTGCCTTGCAGTGTAACTGTTCCTTATAATTCTGGATCTTCTGGTTCTGGTTGTAAAAAAGCAATGGAATAAAAACAAGAATATAACTTTGTAATGTTTAAAATCAGCTTTCCTATATATGTATATGAGACATAACCTAGCTATGTATAAAATACATTTGTGTTACTAAAGTTTCAGAATGTGGGTCTGCAACTGGTGCAAAGGTCGGCAGCCAGGCTTTTAACTGGAGCTAATTACAGGGAGTGCACCATGACCCCATTAAAGCAGCTCCAAGGCTGGAGTTAAAATTGCTGAAAGAAACATTAACAACCTTAGATATGTAGATGATACCACTTTGATGGCCGAAAGCAAAGAGGAACTGAGGAGACTTCTAACCAAGGTGAAAGAAGAAAGTGCAAAAACTGGGTTGCAGTTAAACATAAAAAAACAAGATTGTGGCAAGAAGATTGATTGATAACTAGCAAATAGAGGGAGAAAACGAAGGCAGAGACAGACTTTGTATTTCTAGTTCAGCAGCTCAGTGGTTTAACCTGCTGCCCCACCAGGAGGCCCGAGAATATCTGTATTTCCATACACACACACACACACAATGAACTATCTTGGCCTAACCAATGCTGCTTGGTTGTTAGAACCAAATTGAAATGGACTGGCTGTCAATTGACATAACTAAAACAAAGAAATAAAATCAAGAATCAATGTCTGTCATCACTTCACATCTTTAGTTGTTATAAAACATAGCTGTTATTAGCTTACTCTTGGAAATAGGAAATAATCTTTGCAGTTCAATAATGGGCAATGTAGATCTCTACAAGTAAAACACACTTTATTATAATGCCAAGAAAGAAATTAGATACATATATATTAACATTTCAATATAAATTTTGAAGTATAGAAGGTAGTAATATGAGACTCACTTATTTGCCTGTATATCTCATTGAATGTAGTTGGTCTTCTGAGTACAATATAGGGTCAGGCAGCAAACTATAATTTTATTAACAAATCACTAGACTTCATTATTGTTTCAACTAAAATAAGAGAAAGAAGATATCAACTATGTTTCAAGTAGCCATTTCTCTGCCAATCCCACAGTCTTCCAAAATATTTTGTTTAATGTGTTGTCGAAGGCTTTCATGACCGGAATCACTGGGTTGCTGTGAGTTTTCTGGGCTGTATGGCCATGTTCTAAGTTTTACATGGCTTCAGCCTGATTCCTACCTAGCGCTAGATGGTGATGAAAGCTCACCTAAACTTTCCCAAAACCATTCCTAACAAGGAAAAGCTTTTAATTTTTGTGGGTGACATTGGGCCAATGGTTAACTTTCAGCCTAGCCTGCCTTGTCTGCCTGTTAGAATAAAATGTGTTAATACCATGCAGGTGATGGTTATGATAAATCATTGTTAATTTCATTATCATCCTCGCCATCTGGGTTTTATTTTTCTCATAGTTAATGAGCAAACACTGTTTCTCATTGCTGATGTTTGTTACCCTTAAGGGCTCCTTTCTCGCGGCTTTAATAACTTTTCTGCGTTGCGGTGGCCGGTGGCCAATACTAAATAAGGATTGTTCTGCCTGCTGCTCTGCCCATTGAAATCAGCAAGGCTTCCTTGTTGCCACCCACTCCTCTTTCCAACTTCGACAATAATGTGCCTTTGGGGCAGATGTTTCCAACCTTCATCCTCTATTTTGGGACGAGAAAATAACAATCTATTCATCCGTAAATGGCCCAGTTGGGTATAGAGATGTAAACAGTAGTGAATTTCTAGCATAGGACTTTTCAAGGATTTTCAGAGAAAAGCAACTTATGCCTATGGAAAGCTAATTTTGCACTTGGGTGCCATCCAGGGAGTGAAGTATTGTTGAAATCATGTATAGCCTCCAGTGTTTTCCTGCAACTTGACAAACAGATTACAGCAGAAGCTCTGCTGCCTTCTACTGTTTTTATTGGGACTTCCTTTGTTAAGTATTTAGAAGCTGAAACTTATGTTGAGTGTACATTTCGCTCTGAAAAAGCTATAGGGAGTTGAGAAAGCATCCCACCACCTGTACTGGTTCCTGATGAGTGGCCAAGGTCAGTTCATTATTTTCATTTTAACTAGTCACTGTCCAGTCCCTTCCACTGATATGTAGTTTGGCCCAGGATAGCAAAGTGGCCAACAGATTGCATATTGATCAGGAATTTCCTTGTGCAAATGGCACATCTGGGTACCTCAAGGCGAACCATTCTGTCTTGACTTCGGAGCTCAATCTGGAACGTGGAGATACAACTGACCTTCCAATGTAATCCCCACTTATTAATATTTAGCTAGAGGAGAAGGCACTTTGAACACATGAAAGCATTATGTATATATGCCAAGCATGCAATGGAAACATGTTCAGAAAAGGTTTGGAGGAAGGAGGGTGGACTCATATGTTCTGGAGGATCTTGGACATAGAGAGGCAACCCCGTTTCAGCCTTGTTTGTTGCCCCTAAAAGGAGTAATGTCCAGTACCAGCTACTGTATACACTGCTTAAAAATTCAGCCAGCAGTATTCCTGAAGCAAACTTGTCCATGAATTAGAGAGGTCACGTAGAACATTAGGAAGATAATCGCAAGAAACCTTGCCACTACCTTCTTTTCAGGTTGAGAGAATTACTTTCTCAAAGTCACCCAGTAGGTTTCCATGACTGAGTAGGAATTCATGGAATTCAAATCACTACAATATGAATTGGCAATGCAGTTTGTATATCATTCAGTCCTCACCATCATCATCAGTGATTACTCGTGTTTGAGTAGGATGGCTTTGCAAATGTAGGGTCTTGGTGGTGGGTCCGTAGGTGACTGTGGAGACCTATTCTTGACCCACATGTTCTTCCACAGTGAGGACATTGGTTTCCAGAGGGAAGGCAGTCCCAACAAGAGTTGGCTTGAGGCGCCTTCTTCCTCTTGACCTGTTTGTCCCTTTTGCCCTCCATTCGTGCCTCTTCGAATTCCACAGCACTGTTGGTAACAACTGACCTCCAGTTAGAGCACTCAAGGGCCAGGGCTTCCCAGTTCTCAGTGTCTATGCCACAGTTTTTAAGGTTGGCTGTAAGCCCATCTTTTAAATCTCTTTTCCTTTCCACCAGCCTTCCATTTTCCATTCTTCAGTTGGAAGTAGAGTAACTGCTTTGGGAGACAGTGATATCATTTGGAAGATATAATTTGAGAGACAGTGATATCATTCAGTAGAGCTAACTGGATAATGTGCCATTTAACAATTAACAGTTTCCTTTATTTGGCTGGATACTATACAGTATGTACGCCCTGCAAATAACTTTTTAGCTATAGTGTCCCAAAACTGGACCATGTTGGATCAACATACTTATTGCTCTTAATAACTCAAGCTGCCCATCTCATTGTATATGACAGAGCCCTTGTGCCGGCAGGACTGCTGACTGAAAGGTTGGTGGTTCGAATCTGGGAAACAGGGTGAGCTCCAGCTTCTCATGCGGGGACATGAGAGAAACCTCCCACAGGATGGTAAAACATCTGGGTGTCCCCTGGGCAACGTCCTTGCAGATGGCCAATTCTCTCACACTAGAAATGACCCGCAGTTTCTCAAGCTGCTCTTTACACAAAAAAACTGACTATACTGTTCCCTACTTTATAGATAAGTGGGTGCAATATAGAAATCTAAAATACCCTAGAGAGAAGGGGCATAATCTAGTGTTCCCAACCATCACCAACACTAGCTTCTCCTCAGTGCCAGACATGTTTAAAACTCAATTAGGAATCTAATGTGCACATTTTTTTCCAAACCCTTCTAGCCTTTTTAAGCTTGATTGACTTCTTTGACTTGTGTAATATGTTTTTTGTCTTGTTCTCATTATATATTGATTTTTTAACTTGAATTGTCTAAGTTACTACATTTTGTTTGTTTATTGCTCTGGGATCTCACAATAAATCAGGGGGATAAAACATTTTAATACATAACTAATATATTATTTTTTCCTGCATAAAATAGTGGGGAAATGTAGAATTGTAACTCACTGGCAATATCTCTCCCTCCCTCCCTTTCTCTTGTGGTCTCCTTCTGTGCTATAATAACTCTCATTCATCTTTTTCAGGTTAAGCCCACAGAAAACTCGGTGTGCATTGGAGCCCTTCTTTTCCTCTATACGGGTGATTTCTACTTGAATATCAAATTCCACGAAGACAACTCCTGCAGAGAGCTTCCCCTCTCGTGGTTCTGCCTGCCCAGCATCCACATCCGTGCTGTGAAGCCTGTGATCCAGACTAAGTTGTAATCGTAGCATGAAACATTGCATTAGCTACTATGCTCTCTCAGGCTGAGCATCTCCTCCTCTCTCCCCAAGTCTGTTACTGAGGTTTCTAATGGTTTTCAAATACTTTCCACAGTTGGTTGATAGTAACTGGAGAGCTGCTTTTTCTTCTTTGAAGGGCTGTGGTTTGCATACACCAAGGAACTGGATTTTTTTGAATTTTGAAACTGTTTACTATGTAACATTCCTCTTTTTCCTTCCCCACGATACATGCTGAGTGGGATTTAGCCATCAACTGTTCAGGCTTCAGATTGTATATTTGCTAGCACGTCAATGCTTGTGTAGTTTGAGTATCACCACTAATTTATTTCCTATATAATATGATCGAATAGGGAAGAAATTCTAAATCGCATTCCTTTTATTTTCTCTTCAATGTCTTTCACGTCTCTAGCAATTGCAGACTCAGAATTTCAGTCCCTTCATCTCGACATCTGTCTCCTCAGGGTCACCTTTGGGTTTTATATTTAGCTTTCGCCATGTGTTTATTTATTTCGCTGGCCCAGATTTAATGTGGACGCGGCAACGCCGTAATTTGATTGCGCCACTGAGATGTCAGGCTCCAGTTTCTTTCTCTGGTGATGTTCTCGAAGATACGTCCAAGAGAGATTGCAGCCCCTGACAGAGCAGAGCGTTGTCGACTTGCCAGCTGGACGTTCAGTCCAAGTTTACAAAAACGTTTGGTCGAGGTTCAAGATAAGCTCCTGTGTGGCTGCATATCTTGGAACTTGAAACTCATCAGAAAGGGTCTATGTATCGTGCATAGTAAGGAATCTCTGGCCCTGGTGCATTGCCAAGGAGAAACTCAGAAACGAGTCTTAAGTATGGGAATGTTCTCCTCCTCCTGAATCGGTATCTCAGGACTCAACGGGTTTGAAACGCAGAGAAGTTTGGGTAAAAGCTGCACATCTCAGTTTACTTTAGTCAGCACTGCTTTATGTTTTGCTGGAAAAAATTACACTAGTTAAAGTACATGTGGGATCACCACCTGTTTAACATGCTACGCGCAACATTCTCTAATAGCTAAACACTGATTGGGTTTTTGTTGCTTCGCAGTCAGAGACTAACCTTGATATTTTCTTTGTAATCAGAATGATACTACGCCTGGTGTAATATATTATACACTTCATGGTCTTGTCATCCTACTAGCAATTTAAAAAAAGCACTTTGAGTGTTGACACAATTCTTTAAAATTTTGTTGACAGAAAAGCATGCACCAATCCAGCCATTTCTGCATTTTCCTTGATTTTCAGAAGTCACATTCTTTGGAAAGCCATCCTTCATGGGGCTTTCGTTAGGAATCTGTAAACAGTGTCACATTAGTGTCACATTTGGGCTCGAATTAATTGAAAAGAGGGACATCACAGGTGTGGAATGGCAGTATAGCAAGGGCATCTATTTTAAGGGTAGGGAAATAGTTAAAGATGCCAGTCACGGGACGAACAGCTTTCTCCCTAGGCAGCTTTAAGATGATTTTCTTAGTACAATATTTGCACATCGTAAATCTTCTCCTGACATTAATGGACAACCCTTGGAGGTCAAGGAAAAGAAATCTGGATTAGGCTGTAAGGAATTCTCGTCTTCCCTCCTTCCTTCTTTTTTGCAAAGGGTGATTTCCCCCACTCTTTTGGGTCTTTACAAGCAGTGGGAATAACCCTCTCCTTCCTTGACATTGTCCATGGATGGATTCTGGGCTAAAGGAAAGGCCACATTTAAAAGCACTTCCCTGGAAATGGCATTTCTGTTTCAGTTTGCAAGTATCAACATTTCTTTTTGGTCAGGGTTTAAACTAATTCTGCACTCTTGACTTGGAATGTGTCCACATTGTAGAATGAATGCAGTTTGACACCACTTTAACTTCCATGGTTCAGTGATATGAAATCATGGGAGTTGTAGTTTGGGGAAGCGCCAAGCTAAAGATAAAGACCTTTTGCAAAACTACAGCTCCTATGACTTCATTGCATTGAGCCTTGGCAGTTAGAGCGATGTCAAACTGCATTAATTTGTCAGTGCAGATGCATCCCCGGTGTAGAAGTATGCAGAATTATTTTCACCTGTTTCACCATTTATTCCTAGGTTTCCAAAAATGGAGATTACATTTGAAATATGTATTTTTACTTTTTGAAAGCCACTGTGCTATTCTCATCTCAAATCTTTTCGAATGTGCATCATTCATGCTTCTCTTGAGCACTAATTAAATAGCTGGAGAATCCGGTTAGCGTTTTCTGAAGCCTTTTGCCAAACATTTAATGGCGAGCTTACTCTTACACTGAAGATAATGCAGATTGTATATTACCTACTCATTCTGGTCACGTGTCCTAATAACCTGAATAAAATTTCCAAAACATGGGCAAACTTTGCTGCATTGTCTGGTTTCAGAACACCTGCAGTCATGATTGAGAAAGCAGAAAGTCAAGGCTGCGCTTCCTTCCACCTTGCAGTCCGTTCAACTGTTTCTCTGCCGAAGCATCTGCCTGCTAATCGCTATTGTGCCGCGCAAGGTGACCTTTGAAGTCTGTTTCATTATAGAAATGTAGCATCCAACCTTCCCCTTCTTAACTTTAGTGATTATCTGCTTTGGCACTCTCCCAGTTAGCTGGCTTGTGAGTTTCCAGCGAGAAGTACCTTTCCCGTCATGGTGCCAGTTGTTTCTTCGGGTGCATCTACACTGTAGAATTAATGCAGCTTGTCACTACCTTCACTGCCATGGAGTTATGACAATTGGAGTTTTGCAAGATCTTTAACCTTTTCTGCTAAAGATTGTTGATGCCTCACCAAGGAGTCCAAAACATTGAGCCATGGTTGTTAAAGTGGCATTAAACTGCACTTAAAACAGTGTAGATTAAGTATAGGCAAACTTTGGCCCTCCAGGTGTTTTGGACTTCAACTCCCACAATTCCTAACAGCCGGTAGGCTGTTAGGAATTGTGGGAGTTGAAGTCCAAAACACCTGGAGGCCAAAGTTTGCCCATGCCTGGTGTATATACACCCATAGAGATATATTTCCAAGTTAGCTGTAATTTTATATCAGCTTAAATAGGGTGTCTTAATTATTATAATGAAGTCCCACTCGAGTTGCTACTGTTAGGAATTGCCCTTGCGAGAATTTCAGCGCAGATTTTCCTTCCCATTTATGGAAATGCCGTCAGAAAAGTTCCCTCTCCCATTACGATCTATAATGAACCAATATTTCCTTGCAAATTTGATCAGCCCTCCTTGGATGCGTTACACTTGATTTCAAGCTTGTTAGAAGCCAAGCTGAATTTGGTAGGTTTTATGTATGCAATGGAGAATTTGAAATCATATGTAAATTGAGCTTGCCAAATAAACATTTAGCTTCTCCTCAACTCCACTGAGCACATTTTTGTTGTAGGTAAAGGTTTCCCCTTGACATTAAGTCTAGTCATGTCCAACTCGGGGGGGGGGGGGGGGGGCTCATCTCTATTTCTAAGCCGAAGAGCCAGCGTTGTCCATGTCTTAACTGATTTTGCTACTATTATGAATCATAATGCAAATATCTGATATGCAGGATGCATTTTCATTCACTGGACCAAAATTGGCACAAATGCCCAATACGCCCAAACTTGAATACTGGTGGGATTGGGGGGGGTTGATTTTGTCATTTGGGAGTTGTAGTTGCTGGGATTTATAGTTCACCTACAATCAAAGAGCATTCTCAATGAATCAATCAAATCATTTATTTTGGTCACAGACCAGCACAGGAAATAAAAGTCACAGTTTCATACGAACTTGGTATGTTTAGTACATTTAAAATGTATATATAAATACTGAAGCACAATAAGGTTTTTTTTTGTGTCAGGAGCGACCTGAGAAACTGCAAGTCACTTCTGGTGTGAGAGAATTGGTCGTCTGCAAGGATGTTGCCCAGGGGACGCCTGGATTTGATGTTTTATCATCCTTGTGGGAGGCTTCTCTCATGTCGCCGCATGAGGAGCTGGAGCTGATAGAGAGCTCATCCGCCTCTCCCCGGATTCGAACCTGCAACATGTTGGTCTTCAGTCCTGCTGGCACAGGGGTTTAACCCACTGTGCCACCGGGGGCTCCTATACAATAAGGGGTGAGGGAGTGGAAGAGAAAACAGGGTAAAAACATACAATGTACAGGTCTATAAGCGAATTATAGAATCAAGGAAGATGATTACTGGAAACAAAATTAGCTTTTGGGATCTGACAGATTTTGTATGCAGCTGCACAAAACTTTGCAACATTATAGGTTGTAGCTGAATTAGTATCTACAAGTAGCAGGAAGGTATAAAATTGTCCTGAATGGCCTGGCTGCTTGCATATCAGAGGTAAGATAAGCCTGGCACAGATACCCCTGTAGAACGGTCGCTGGAGGAGCACATGTTCTATTGTTTCTATATGACCCGAGTCACAGGGGCAGAGTCTCTCTGGAAAGGGATCTTCTGGTAGCGGCCTTCGAGTACAGCTGATGGGGGAGAGCATGGCATTGGACCAGGGTGAAAGCCCTTCGATGAATAAGAACTTCTAAATTTGTTAATTATGCCCCGGGGGGGGGGGGGGGGCAAGGTATCTGCTGTCTTCGTCAAAAGGAAGAGCATTCTGAACTCCGCCAGTGATGGAATTGAACCAAACTTTGCACACACAACTCCCATGGTCAACAGAACATACTGGAAGGGTTTGGTGAGCATTGATCTTGAGTTTTGGAATTGTAGTTCACCTACATCCAGAGCACACTGTGGACTCAAACCATAATGGATCTGGACCAAACTTGGCACACACAACTCCCATGGTCAACAGAACATACTGGAAGGGTTTGGTGAGCATTGATCTTGAGTTTTGGAGTTGTAGTTCACCTACATCCAGAGCGCACTGTGGACTCAAACCATAATGGATCTGGACCAAACTTGGCACACACATCTCCCATGGTCAACAGAACATACTGGAAGGGTTTGGTGAGCATTGTTCTTGATTTTTTGAGTTGTAGTTCACCTACAGCCAGAGAGCACTGCGTACTCAATGATGGATCTGGACCAAACTTGGAATAAATACTCAATATGCCCAAATGTGAACACTGGTGGAGTTTGGGGAAAATAGACCTTGACATTTGGGAGTTGTCTTTGCTGGGCTTTATAGTTCATCTGCAACCAAAAAGCATTCTGAACCCCGACGATAGAATTGGGCCAAACTTCCCACACAGAACCCTGCATGTCCAGAACTGGACCAAACAGAAACCCCCATGACCAACAGAAAATTCTGTGTTTTCTGATAGTCTTTGGTGACTCCTCTGATACCAAATTGCGAACGCCCCTTGGGTCCCGATCCCCAGGTTGAGAAACACTAGTTTAAGGGCTCGGGCAATTAATAATCCCTCTGTAAACCTATAACTCATTATGAACAAAGTTTGGGGAAAATAGACCTTGACATTTGGGAGCTGTCGTTGCTGGGATTTATAGTTCACCTACAATCAAAGAGCATTCTGAACTCCACCAAGATAGAATTGGGCCAAACTTCCCACACAGAACCCCATGACTAACAGAAAATACTGTGTTTTCTGATGGTCTTTGGTGACCCCTCTGATACCCCCTCACAACCTCCCCAGGGATCCCACACCCAGGTAGAGAGGATCATAATATAGTATAGGAGGTGAAAGAATAACAAATTAGTGACTACTGGGGAAGAGTGGAAAAGGTTTGAGAGTGCTAATTCTATATTACACCTTTTTTTTTTTTTTGAAGTAGAAAGCTTTACTATGAGGCTAAATGATCTATGAAGGCTTTCATAGCTGGAATCACTGGGTTGTTGTAGGTTTTTTGGGCTATATGGCCATGTTCTAGAAGCATTCTCTCCTGAGTTTCACCTGCATCTATGGCAGGCATCCTCAGAGGTTGTGAGGTTTGTTGCAGGTGACATTAGGAGAGAATGCTTCCAGAACATGGCCATATAGCCTGAAAAACCTACAACAACCCAGATCTCCTTCCCTCTTGCAGCAGATTTTTGGGAGACATGTATTAAGAGCAGCAGAATGAGAAGATGATCCGATCGACTGATGTGATGTTTCCCTGTGCAAAAAATATTGAAATGAATCACGACATTAACGAATGTCCTCTTTGCTTTGGATTCCGGCCACCAGTTGAGTTTGTCAATAATCGGAGGTGGAAAGGAAGCTGGTGTACAGACTAGCGCTGGGTCTTTTGTAAACCGTAGTAACCCATTCCCCTATATTTGTTCTTATTTATGTTGTTGTGTCTTGCTGGGTCTGTTTCAGAGCCTCATGGCCATTCTGAGACTGCAGAGAAGGCTGAAATGTAATAAAGCGCATTGCCTCTAATGCCTTTTGCTGCCCCCATGGGCAACGTTGTACCGGTTTTTCTGCTGCTGTCCTGTGATCTATCTCTGTGTACATCTTGTACATTAATGGAAATGTGTCAGCCGTCATCGTGATTGCTTTTTAACTAGCCTCTGCTGATTGAAAAATTGACATCACCCCTTTTGCTTTGAAGAGAGAGAGAGAAAGAGAGAGGGAGATTGGTGCAGCCGTTTGTGAGAAATATCAGGTGCAGAACAAACAGGCGTTCGCAATGAAACTTGATTAGTGCCGTCACGTGGAGGGCAGCTGGGGGATTCTCGGGCACATTTGGACCTTATTTAAATATTTATTCACAGCTAAAGTGTTGGCAACTCTGTGCACATCTGTAGGCTTTAAATCCACCCTTTGTTTTGTAATCCCGTGGTTGATTTGAGAATCTTCTCCAAAGATGCAAACAATTACCCTTATGTCCCTTAGCGTGAGCTTCCATTTAAGTGAAACAGGGATTCAGCTGGAAGCTGTATGGGTTCAAGAACATATGACACTACCTCACACCACATCGGATTGCTTGTGCATCTCATCCAGTATCTTTTCCATGCACAAAATTTTGCAGTCCGAAAAGACCCACTCCAAAAACTTGACAGTTGGCAAAACAGAGTGTCTGCCCCCATGTGAATGTATAGAAGAGTTCATCTGCTATGTTTAAAGACCTTCTCTTATCTCTGATCATCAAAGTAAGAGTAGAGGACCTTCCCTGAGCCACATGATTCCTGTAGATAGAAGCCCCTCTCTCCTATGGAATCTGCCAATGGGATTTTGGCCTGATAAATAGGAGTCTAGTGTCTAGATCAGTGGTTCTCAACTTGGGGTCCCCAGATGTTTTTGGCCTGCAACTCCCAGAAATCCCAGCCAGTTTGCCAGCTGTTAGGATTTCTGGGAGTTGAAGGCCAAACCCCAGGTTGAGAACCATTGGTCTAGATCCAGGGAAGTCATGCTACCCCTCTATTCTGCCTTGGTTAAACCACACCTGGAATAGGGTCCAATTCTGGGCACCACAATTGAAGA